GGGGGGGGTCGCCAGACACAGATCTCTCCAGCCTGTTGCTGTCTCTCACAGCTGTAAAGCTTTATCCATCCTCTCACACGATACAACCAAACAGGACATAATCTTTACGGTTTACAGCGTCATATCATGAGCTGTGGTCGGTGTTTCTCACTAAAACCACGGGATGTTTTGTTTGTCCCTCTCCAGCCATTCACAGATCAATGCTCCAATGTTGTGATCAGCCAGCTGTGACAACTGGCCTGCAGGAGAACAATGATTTACATGTTTGAACATCGGGCCAGCTCATTCGACCAGTAAAGAAAAAGGTTACATTTGCCAAACAAATGCTGTGGTTCCTTTTTTTTTTTTTTTTGTCTGTTAAATAAATGCTTATCGGTCTTCAGATGGGAATGTTTTAGCGTGGCTTTGCATGCGAAATATTGGTGTAATGCTTGTATTTCTTCTTAAACAGTGCGTGTACTCACCTACGGTGGGTGTAGCTTTTTACATCTTGAACTAAATCTTATAACAATATTGTGTTGTACTTTAATATAATGATGTCACATTTTATAAACTCTTGAAACTCTCTTACATTCTCCTTCAGCACAGTCATGTGGAATAAACAACGATCCGTACTGGGCCAGGAGAAGAAACTTTAACTACTTTGATCATGGAAGAAAACTAAATTTTTAGGAGAAAACTAATAAGGTGTTTGATTTGGAGAAAGATTTGATTTGATTGATTTGATTTGATTCATTGATTTAACAGGAAAAGATTACTAAAAATCAAGCCTGACTCAGCATAATTGCTGTTTTACAGAAGGTTCCTGTTCTGCAGCACATAAAACACTCGGAATTACAGCATCATAATCACATCATATACACCATAGACACAAAGACAAACAAGCATACCAAATTTCAGGAAGGCAGCATTTGCAAAATAGGACATCTAAATATGAGCACAACAAAAAGTGTCCAGCAGATGGCAGACAAGATTCTTCTTAAAGGGCTGTAGTTTTAAAATGGACTTTATGTTTTGAGGAATGTCATTCCATGCTTTAGTATAAACATAGAAGAAAGACCTCTGGTCGTAACAGTTCTTGTAATCTTCTGTCTGTTCTTGTAAAAAAAAGTTCTTCGTAATCAGTTCTTGTTTAGTAAATCAGTCTCAAAACAAGATCAAAAAGACTTTTTGGCTGGATATAAGGTTTTAAAACTTGGTAAGATGGATAGTTTATGCAGTGTACAATTACATTTTGGCACAATCAGCTAAACCCCAGGGGTATCAGAGAAAATAATAAATAAATATGTTTAGCTGCTTTTATCTTTAATCAAGTTTTTAGACAGATAATACACACTTGATTCACTTGATGTGCAGATTTTAAATGATTTGGTGGTTTGACACAACAGGGAAACTAACTTGTGTGGAGATGTTGCAGCGGGCATCCCTCATGACTGAGGACCCTCGTCTGTGTGGTACTGATTGGGTTTTTCAACAGAACAATGCTGCAGTTCACAATGCCCGCCTGACAAAGGAGTTCTTCCAAGAGAATAACATCACTCTTTTGGACCATCCTGCATGTTCCCCGGATCTAAACCCAACTGAGAACATTTGGGGATGGATGGCAAGGGAAGTTTACAAAAATGGACATCAGTTCCAGACAGTGGATGGCCTTCGTGAAGCCATCTTCAACACTTGGAGCAACGTTCCCACTAGCCTCCTGGAAGCACTGGCATCAAGTGTGCCTAAACCATTGTTTGAAGTCATCAACAAGAATGGTGGAGCTACACATTACTGAGTCCTTTCTTTGACACTTAGATTTCTGTTTTGGAAGGTTTTCAGATTGTTTTTTTTTTGAGCTATGGTCTTAAACTTTTGATCAGCTGAAAAAAATCATGTTTGAGTGTAAATGCAGTTTTCAGAAAATTCCCTGCTCAAAAGTTCTTGTCTCTTGCACTGATTTCTTCTTTTAACATTGTGATAAGATCCAATAGTGCAAAATGCAAATTCTTGCACTTTTTTGACTGGTCTTAAGATTTTGATCAGGAGTATACAGTATAGTTACACAAGTTAAAATCAGAGCAGCACAATGTGGAACTAACATTTCTCAACACTTAGAACTTCCTATATACGCGCCAGTTTAGTTCAGGCTCTTGCCAATACAGTTTCATGTCATCTCAGTTTAACACTAAAAAGAAAATAATTATTTAGTCCTTAACACAATGCATCAGAGGTCCCCTGGCACAGAATCTATACACAGGACAGACTGCAGTGTTAGTGTGTCTTCCTCTGCAGGTCTGTGGAGTAAATACTATTGTTTCTGTAGCTGCTCCGTTAACAAGAGGGGGAGGAAGACACTGGAATGACAGTGAGGGTTATTGTGGAACAGAGATAAACTGCATGTTTAGTGTATGAGCATTGTCAAAGGTCTGTGTTGAGGGCAAAGACTGATTCTCTGTCCTGTTGTCTCAGTCCATCACCCCCTCCCCCCCGTCCCATTTAAAGAATAAACACAGCCTCCCCCTTCTTTACAGCTCATACAGAGCTAACTAACTGTTGTCTAAATGAATATGTTTTTAAAACTCTGCTTGTGGCTGAATAACTGGACAAAATGAAAGTCTGCCTGAAATACTAAAATCTATGCACTGGTACCACATATCAATACTTTACTCATTAGGATGGAAGTGTTTAATAGATTTAATTGCTTATGGTATTACCAGTTCATTACTACATTATCAATTAACTCATAAAATGATTCTACTTTAAAAAAAAAAAAAACAACAGAATCGAACATTTAAAAAGTAGCACATGTATCTCTAACCTTCTCAGTATAGTGTTTTGACAGAAACATCTATATTTCAACACACACACACACACACACACACGCGTGCGCGCACGCGAAATGAAAACTCATGCAGCCTGAACTGTGACATGTTAAGACGTGTTTGTGGAAAACACAAAAATAGAAAATAGTTAAATCGTTTCTGTGCCAGAGATTTTGTTAGCATTTCGTTTTAACTGCTGGGTGGAATGTCTATTCTTACAAATCTAAAAATACTTTTGTGAACTTATTTTAAATATTTCATCACGCTGTTCAAAGTTGAACAATACTATTCTACAGCTGTTTTACAGTCATCAGGAAAAAGAAAGTCCACGTTTTACATTTTTTTAGGGTGTTTTGTAACAGAATGTAATAAAAACGATCTGGTCATGTGTACAAAAAACACACAATAAATTCAACCATGTTATAATTTTTAAACAAAAATGAAGTCAAAACAGAAAAGTTGTGTGTGAAAAACTGAGTTTACCCCATGGTTCAACAGTTACCAGAACCTCCTTCAGCAGCCATAACACAAAATAGCAGTCTCTTCTGTGCTTACAACCTTGTTTCAGCTCATTACGTTGCAAACATTTCTTTGTGCACAGCTCTCCTAGGGTCCTACCACAGCGTTTCAGTCAAACAACACTCTAGGCACTCACTGGACAAATGCAACAATTTTGTAATTCTTTTCTTTTTCAGCCATTCTGTTGTAGATTGGCTGCCATGTTTGGGCTCTCTGACCTGCTGCTGCATGTCACTCATTGGGACCAAGCTTCAGCTGTCGGACAGATGGACCCACATTTGACTCTAAAACACTTTGGTTTACAGAGAAATCGGTGGTTAACGAATGGTATCCAGAACCTGTGGCTGCAAAATAAGATAAAACCATCAGCACTCAACCACAACCACTGACAGGTGTTAGACATAAGTATAACGTGTTTGTTTCCATATGCTACATTTTTTTTTATTAAATATGTGCATTATCTTTACTTTGGTCTCATCTCAAAGGACCTGGTCCCAAAGGTTTTGGGATTTATGGGGGTTAAACCAGTCCAAATAAGACATACCATTTTCAGTCTTTTTCTAATTAGACTGTCTTGATGTTTAACCTTTAACCTGCTGCTTACTGAGACCTGTGGAGGCCGAGATGGAGCTCGTGGGTTTTTACAGTTTCTTTGAGAAGTGCATGGTCAAATAAAAAAACACTCTAATCAATATAATCATATAATCAACATATAAACACAATAATCAAAATAAAAAATTAAATTAAATAATAAATGGTCTGACCTGGGATGTCCACTCCTGGGAAGATTGGCAACGCTTATAATCTCCATCTGTAAAATGATGGACTCTAATCTAAATTGTTTGAAAATTTATTTTAACCCTCCCCAGATTGATAAACAGCAACGGTTGCTTCTCTAAGGTCATTGCTGATGTTTTTCCTGCTTGGCATTGTGTTACCACACACCTGTATGCTCCAGACTGGAAAAGTGCCAAAACTCCTGTATTAACCGACTCAGCAGCAGACAAGTAAGCAACCCCTGTTTATCGCCTGGATATTAAAAAGTAAAAGGGTTAAAGTAACGACCTAGAAGAAGCGTTTGTGTAGTAAAAACTTGCATGCAGACAAAATTCAAACTTTGGACACTGGAAAAGTGCACTAAGAGGAAATGAAAGGCAAAGTCTTTCAGACAGACATTGGAGTCAGCTTT